CCTCCTCATTCTCCTTCTCCTCCTCCTCTTTCTTCTTCTCCTCCTCCTTCTTCTCTATCCCCAGGCTTGATATTGCACTGATGAACCATGTCATTGCCTTTGAGATCTCAAAAGAGTTCTGTTTTTCCCGAAGACGTTTTTGTACTTTTCTAAATCTTCAGACCCAACATTCTTAAGTCGCAATTCTTCTTTCTCCAAGCGAGTAAGGTCCTTCCATATTTGCTTCTTTGTATTTAAGAATGTCTTGAATTTCTGCAGTGATGGCATCTGCATTTTTCTTGGCAGTCTGGCACTCTGGAGAGTCTTCATCAACACAGATTCCATGTTCATGGGCAACGTCAGCCATCTTCTCAATTCCCCTCTTCACCTTTGTGTTTTCAAATGCATTGCTGACTTTTTCCTGCAAATCTTTGACAAAGTTTGCATCATTTATGTGTTTGGTTTTCAAAAGGATGTTGCTCTTTTTTAAGCTTAACTTGGTTGCTACCTTTTTTACAGCATCTAATTTGAAATCTTTGCTTTGACGGTTACCCACCAAGAAGATCTGGGCCTTGTGGTTTTGGTTGGTTAGCAGCTCACACTCAGAGTTCAAAGCTTCAAAGAACACAAAAACTGCTGCAGATGTCTGACACAAGAAATCAAATTGTGTTTGAAATGAAGCAATGTCCCCACGAAGGTTAGCTACAGCAACTGGCTCGCTGAAGACATCCATGTTTTCGTTCCCACAAGGGAGGTACCAAGTCATTTCAACCAATCCATTGGATATTCTCCTTGGACTGTCACCACACTCCATGTTGCGGTGAACAAATGTGTCATGGTACTGCTGAGAACTGCTCAGAAGCTTATTGAGGATCTCTGACTTGGACAAGGAGCACTCACCCAGTCTCACAAAAGATATCATTGGAAGTTCAGAGACAACAATTCTCTCTTCAATGAATCCCCTGGACTCTGAAAGTGACTGAGGTCTGTACTTCATTTCATTTCATTTCAAACCTTTATTTATCCAGGTTGTATCCCATTGAGATCATTGATCTCTTTTTCAAGGGAGACCTGCTCAAGTAGGTTCCACATGAAACATTAAAAACATAACAGAGCAACAAAAGGACATCATACAGTAGCATTACAGGGATTACAATTTACATAACTCAGGGTTCTTACACCTTTTCCAAAGTCAAATTCAAGCACTTTTCAAGCATTTTCAAGGTGCATTTTCAAGCTTTTCAAGCATCTTACAGCTGTTGTAAATTACATATTTATATACACATACTTATACTCAAATGATTATTTCCCTACCTCACATTAAATCAGATGTTCTTTATGCTATAAACAACCAAATGTGTGTTTCATAATAGCATTCTACATGAGGATGAAAAATTTAAAATGTTAGAAAAGAAAACTAAGTTTAATATTTCAAAATGTGTGACCCATCTGTACGTAGACTGGGCCTCCCATATAACCTGGCTGAGCCAATATAAAACAATCAGCCAAATAACTTTTCAATATATTATTGATTACTATTTTTGAGGTACTTTTAGGTTGGCAGTAAACACAAGTCAGAGGTAAATGGTGTACTTTGACTCCACTACATGTATTTAATACCTTTAGTTACTTTACAGATGTGGATGAATGATGTGAAATATAATCAAGTGTTAAATCAGACTTTAGTTCCACCTGGAGTAAATTCACAAGCTACTCTGTAGTATACAAAGTCATTCAAACTAGCTGCAACTTTACCAGCTTTGATAACACTTTCATGATCAATCATTATAAAACATAACATATACAATTATTAGGGATGCTCCGATCGTCAATTTTGGAGCCGATCGCCGGAATCAGTATCGGCCGATACCGATATCGCTCTCTTTTCCTCTCTCTCCCCCTCTCTCCTGACAGCCCGTCAGTATCTCCTGCAGCTCACTGATCCAGTAATGAGCGACGACAGTGAAGAATAAATATATCTTTATAACTAGTTTAGCTTGTTCCAGAGGTAGATAAAATAGCTAAGTGTGTTAGGTCTAACTCTTAGTGTGTGTTCTGCTCCGCTCACCGGTCCGTCACAGCGGGTGGAGCTGCAGGATTTCTGCTTCACACACACGTTGCATACCGCTATTTTATTGTCATTTTCGGACACTTAAATACTGCCAGACTAGTGAAGCCATTTTGGCGAGCTTGTTTTGCCGCGCACAGAGAAAAGTGTCATGTATTTTACATGCAACGATAGCCTAATCTAAAATGTTCTACAACAGCGTACCTTTCGTGTGGTGTGTGGCTCGTCAGCGCAGACTCTCGCATCGTTATTGTTGCACACTTTGCAGGAGGCTACTCTTGGGCTTCGCTTGACCCTCGTCTTAGCCATGGCTTGTATTTGTCTTCTGCTAGCCAACGCTCGTTGAAACGGCAACCTCCTGGCATACTGTCATCTATCACTCATCAGAATGCCCAGGGGCCTCATTTATAACGCCTTGCGTAGGATTGACGTGGGAAGGTTGCTTACGTAGTACAAAGCACAAAAATAGGTACATACATTTTCCGCCATTTTCTGATTCACAAAACATTGCGTACCGGCGAGGGAAGTGCGTACGGCACTCCCTACGCCTGTTTCCTTTGATAAATCACAATCGACTCGTAACGCCCATATTTGCCTATACATAGTCAAAGAAACGCCCATTCATTCATTCATTTTGACTGACTGCATGAAGAAGATCGCAGGAAATTACGATAGAACAGCTAAAAAAGACATCTCACACCGTGTCAGATTTTGGTTATTTTGGGGAGGTCGAGATAAATCATATTGTTTGGTGGATGCAGTTTGAACCAGAGTAGCAGCATGGAGGTCGGATCGTCACCAAAATAAATAAATAAGTGGTCCGAAAAAAGTTAATGACAAAAAAAATACACATAACCTTCCTCAGGCAGTGTGTTTGTCCCGGGGACAGGAGACACCCCCTTGATGAGAAACTGTAAGAAATGATCGGGGAATCCCTCCGGAGTGGAGTCATGACGACTGGATCTGAATTATTTTTGTTGTATTTGGTGGTTTGTGTTCCAGCTGTCGATCAGCAACTATATATCCATAATCCACCAGTTAAAGGAAATACAACTAATGGATTGTGTTATATTAGCTGTACAATTTACCACATATGGTGTTCTTAGTTTCCATACCTCCTGTGTTTTACGAGCGACTTATCAAGTCTTGGCAAACGGCATAAAACACGATTAAACGTGATAGTATATAAAACCATGCTCGTATCTACAACCTATAGAAATGCAAAACGGCGTCAGTTTAGACGTAATTCTGTCCTCCTGCTTACCGCATCATTTATGAGAAAACATTTCATAACATTAACACAACATATTCGAGGTGGTTTTAAATAGCATATCCGTATTTATTTATTTCTCCAAGTTATGTTTTTGTGTGCACTGAGGAGTCTCAAACAGGCGTTTGTTTAATCATTTAAAGATTGGCTTTAATCAATGTTTGAAAATGAATTCTTCATATATGATAAATGAGAGGTAACATTTTATTTATGGTATTATTTCCACATATTTCTCTCCATTCTTCCTTCTGCCAACGGTGTCGCAGTTTATCGTCTCTCCCGTTTGTGTGCTTAGTGCGTACGCATGGGTTAGAGTTTGCGTGGAGGACAGCACATTTTCCCGTCAAGTTAGTATTTTATAAATCGCAAACATTGCGTAGAAACTGGCGTACGCCATTTTTTGAGCGTATATCCCTTTATAAATGAGGCCCCAGGTCACACACGTAACAAAAACACTTGCCGGTCACGCCGGAGCAGAGCTGTTTTATGAAAAAGCGAAGCAATTAAGCGCGCTCCGACTTCTTTATTTTCTTTTAATCTAAAAAGCGAAGTAAAGCATTTACAATTTCAAGCACTTTATCCCAAATTCAAGCACCATTCCCGAAATTCAAGCACTTTTCAAACCTTGAAAACACCTCGTACAATTTCAAGGATTTCCAGCACCCGTACGCACCCTGATAACTATCCACATGCACAGGTACCAACAGCTTCCGATTGAGTAGCATCCAACCGAGCTTTAAAAACATTGAGTGGCACCAGATTGCTCAGTTTCCATTTTAATTGCAGACTATTCCAGGACAGTGGAGCTGCGCATCTAAATGCTATCTTCCCTAAGACAGTCCTAGCAGTTGGCACATTTAACAAAACCACAGCATGCGATCTCAGGCAGTAGCCACTTACAATTCGCCGTGAGATCAGGGAGCAGATGTAGGATGGAAGTTTCCCTAACATGGCTTTATATATAAAAATGTACCAGTGACTGAGCCTCCGTGCAGTTAGTGAAGGCAGACCAGCCCTTGCATACAGGGTACAGTGATGGGTTAATGCTTTACAGTTTGTCACAAATCTCAGTGCACTGTCATACGCAGCATCTAACTTGACCAGGCAATTGGCAGGTGCATTCATATAAATCAAATCACCATAGTCCAGCACAGGTAAAAAAGGTCACAGAGACTAGCCTTTTTCTGGCCTCGAGCGAGAAACAGGACTTGTTCCTGTAGAAGAAACCTAGCCTAACCCTCAGTTTTTTAAGCAGGTTATTGACATGACGTTTAAAAGAGAGACAATCATCAAGCCAGATACCAAGGTATTTGTAACAGGCAACCACTTCAAGTTTTATTCCTTGCTTAGTTAAAATATCTAAAACAGGCTCTGGTGTCTTTTTAGCTTTTGAAAAGAGCATTACCTTGGTTTTATCAACATTTAAAAGAAGCTTTAGTTCAGAGAGCTGAGTCTGAATAATGTTAAAAGCAGCTTGCAATTCAACAACAGCCTCCTTAATGGAGGGACGTGCACAGTACATAACGGTATCGTCCGCATAAAAATGTAAGGTTGCTCCATCGACATTTTCACCTAAACTATTGATGGAGAATAAAAGTGGACCTAAATCAGAACCTTGAGGAACACCATTAGTAATGTTTAACCACTCAGAAGACAGCCCATCAAAATGAACACATTGGGACCTTTCAGAGAGGTAGTTCACAAACCACCCCACTGCATGACTGGATATTCCAATACCTCTGCTTTAAGATGCGATGATCGACGGTATCAAACGCTTTGGAAAGGTCAATAAATAGAGCTGCACAGCTCTGCTTATTATCTAAAATACTCGCCACATCATTCACCACTTTCATTGTGGCAGTGATGGTGCTATGTTGCTTTCTGAAGCCTGACTGATGTTTAGACAGGATGTCATTTGTACATAAAAACACCTTAACCTGCTCACTCACTAGGCGTTCAAGAACCTTAGCCAGAACTGATAATTTCGAGATGGGCCTATAATTATTTAAAACAGTTGCCTCCCCTCCTTTCAGCAAAGGCAGGATATACGCTGACTTCCACAATTTTGGAATTGTGTTTGTGCTGAGGGAGAGGTTAAAAAGAGTAGTGAGAGGTGGAGCAATAATATCTGCAGCTATCTTTAAAAAGAAAGGTTCTACGTTGTCCGGGCCGGCCGGTTTCTTAGGATCTAACTTGGTTAAAGCTTCACGAACAACATCAACAGTAAAAGGAGTCAAACTAAAAGGGTTTTCCAAAACACGTTTTTCAGAGTCACAGACTGTGGTGTTCACAGAAGCAGAGTTTGTCACAGAATCAAACAGAGAGCCACAGGACACAAAATGCTCATTAAAACAATTTAACATAGTGGCCCTGTCCGATATAGTGCCAGATGCTGTGGTAATGCACGGAGGTAGCTCATTACGGATATCACCGGTGGATATCGATTTTATGGCTTTCCAAAATGTTCCAGGATTATTCAGGTTCTTTGTGGTAACTGACAGATAATACTTAGACTTAGCACTTTTTATTTGTGATGTGAAGCTATTTCTTAGCTGCCTAAAGCGTAGCCATTCTACCTCTGAGCCAGATTTCCTAGCCTTTGCCCAGGCCTTGTTTCTCTCATGTAGGAGACTAGATAAGTCAGCAGAAAACCAAGGGTTGTCTCGTCCCTTCACTCTAAATTTACGCAGGGGTGCATGTCTATCTATAATTTCCATAAAACCAAGATAAAAATAAGACCATGCAGTTTCTACATCAGCACACAGATCGATTTTACCCCAATCAAAATCAAACAGATCATGAACAAAACCCTGCTCCACAAAATGTTTTTTGTCTCTCTTACTGATAATGCGAGGTTTAACCTTTTGGACTTTTGTGTCCCTAATTGTGGCTACAACACAGTGATCACTCAGATCATTTGCAAATACTCCCACAGATAAGTATTTATGGGGAGCATTAGTTAAAATGAGATCAATTAAGGAGGATTTATTTGGGGACTTAATGTTAGGGCGAGTAGGACTGTCTATAATCTGAGTAACATTCAGAGAGATACAAAGGTTTTTAAAATCCTCTGACACAGAAGTTAACCAGTCCCAATTAAAATCACCAAGCAGCACTATTTCCTTGTAGTCAAGTTGAGATAAAAGTTTTGCCAATGAAGATAAAGAGTCCTTGACAGCTGAGGGGGGTCTGTAGCAGCCCACCACCATGAGCTGTTGACCCTTTGCTACTTCAATATTTAAGGCTAAAAATTCTAGTTGTTTACTAATAGATTTGGAAACCATCTTGGTTACACAAAACTTTTTAACAATGTCTCTCATGGCCCAAAGCATGAGTGTGCACTGCTTTGTGTCACAGTTGGGAAGCAACAGAGGCACGGAAAACTGACACATGGACATTTTGAGGGCCATTTCCTGCTGTACAAAACCATCAGAGCACAGGAAGAGAGCAGTGATAATGTCAAGGGGATTCAGTGTGTCACCTGAATGTGTACTTTCATCTAAATCATCAAGGTCATCTGTGTGATCCTCACAGTTTGACTCATGTGCAGATGTACATTTCACATTCCTAGCTGTCACATTAACCATCATTAGTTTCTTCAGAAAATACCATGGAAGATCTGAATTACACTTGGCAGGTTCATCAGTAATGGTCTTCTTGTCAATCCTAAGAAGTGTGCTTAGGGATAACTTCTCTTCAACGTGGTGATCCAGCCCCAGTTCCTCCAAAAACTTCTCTAGCTGCTTCTCTGTAGAAAATAAAAAGAATACATATAAAAGCCTTAATTGATTATTAAACATTCATAAGCATGGATCAACATTTATTATAACAATCTTCATTTCCTATAGTTTATTAAACTACAACTATGATGGGAAGTCAATTATTAAACAGCTTGTCTAATAGATGGATCCAGATCCTTCAACAACACTAGAATCAAATGAAGAGATATACAAATCTAATTGGCAGATTGCAATGGAATTGTTAGTGAAAGGACTTGAAAGAAGAGATTGAGACGTAATTCACATCAAATTACAGCAGGTTTATAAAAATGCAATACACTGTGTTTGACATTGGCATTGATAGGTGAACATTGAAAGAAACTATCTTTCATGTCTGTCATGATCAATCATATCAAAAAGATATATATAATGCATGGTTTAAGCAAACACCTGAAAAGGGAAAAATATGCACTTGTTTGCAATTGTACTGTGCAATAGTCATTTTTATGTAAAGCATATTTTTTTTATAAATGTCCCAGCACAGTTATAAGGTCTCAATACTTTAATATATATATATATAAAATATAATCTTTTTGCCATTTATTGGTTGCCTTTTTTACCTGCTATGACACTTTTGCTGTAACACTGTACATTTCCCCGCAGTGGGACTCATAAAGGAATTCTGATTTTGATTCTGATAAGTACGCATACATAAAATGTGTGAGCCAGATTAGCAGTAAGGGTCATATGTGCTATACTGGCAGTAATATATCTATAACAGCTTCATTAACATGAAGAAAGGCTGTTGCTGAGAAAGTTGCTCTAAGAACTCACTGCTGCTTCACAACAGATACATTCGCTTGAAAAACAAGAAGCTAACCTTGAAGCAATAAAAACAAGTCTCAGAGCGGTAATGGAAAAGCTTGAGCTTCAAACTGATAAAATAACAACCATGGAAGCCCTGGAGTATGGTGGAGGATGATAATAAATGTGTTGTGGTGGAGCGATACTGTACTGGTCAACCAGATGAAAATGCTGATGTTTATAATGAAGAACATAGAGCAAGATAATAGAAAAGTCTTCATGGGCCCTTACTTGCATTCAATCTCAAGCAATGGAGGCCCACATAGTAGACAAAAGCATCAGCAGCGCAGCATTACTCCAGCCAAGTCAGACAAAGTCACAATCAAATAGCAAAGAAAGAGTGACTCGATTTAAAGGTAGGGTAGGTAAGTTTGAGAAACCGGCTCGAGATCGCTAGAATTTGAAAATACACAACCGGAGAGAAAATCTGCCACTTCCTTACAGAGCCCCTCCTCCAACACACACGAACGCGCACATGACCAATGAGGGCACGAGATAAGTTTGTGCACAGATGGAAGGCTGACAGGCAGGTAGGCCATCCAGTTATTTTAGCCGGGCCGGCTAAAATGATTGGTCATGCTGACTGAAATGCTGCCAAAGGAGCAACGCTTAACATTACAGCCATCCAGAGAAATACCCATCTTTAAAAAATATAAATTAGAGTACCTTCCATTTATTGAGATGTTGGCCAAACTAAAGACTTGGTGAGAAGGTTTCAATAAATGAATTCTAAAAAGGACTAGAAAGCCAAGAGATTGCTCGAAGAGAACGATGGAAATGAACTCTTTTGCAGCAGCTTGTTTGGAGAAAGGTCAAATTGGAAAGCCATTAACAGTGAAGATAGAAAAGCACTGCTCACTTAAACTATTTGTCTTTAAGGATGTTGTAACTCAATGGAAGATATTGATACCTTCCTTTAAACTCAGGGAAAAGTGGAGAACTGCAAATTCATAGATTCAAACAAAATGAAAAATGCAATCTTTCCAGTTTTGGTTGTTTTCATCTAAAGACATGATACTGATGACTATAAAGAAAGTCGTTTTGCGACAGTAAGTGCAGTGGCTACCACCATACCTGTATGTCAGAGTTATGGACAGCTTGATGATGAAAGCCCTTCAACAGTTATGTGCATGTAAACTAATTATCAACAGCCGACACACATAACTACAGTGCCAAATGTTCCAAATGACTTTGAACCTCTATCACCCGACCACTTGCTTCAGCTCAAGGTCAAACCAATGCTGCCCCCAGGTTAAATCCATCGGCAATATACACAGCCAAAACACCATTGGCAGCAAGTGCAATGTTCTAGACCAGATGAATCTACGACTTTTGCAAGAAAGACCGGAATGGAATTGCATTCAAAGAAACGATATACCTGGACATACGTGTATTGATCATAAACTCAAATGCACCTCATGGATCCTGGTTAATGGCAAAAGCTCTGGAGACACCACCCAGATCAAGAGGTCTGATTCTTTGTATGACAGAAACAAACATGCTGGAAAGACCAGTGAGCAAAGTTATCTCTCTGGTGCCAGTCTAATAACTGAACAACCCTCTGTCACAACAAGAATATAGATTTCAAAGGCTGAACCTTTTATATCTGGCTCCTTTTTTGTTTTGTTACTTGTTATTAAAGATGCCCATTTCAATAAAGGGCCGCTATGTAGGCCAGTATTTTGTTTTGTGCAAAATTTCCAAATAATATTGTCACCCAGTAGAGACCTCCTATTTATGGAAAATAAAAGACTACAATTCCCCAGCACCAGCTTATTGAGATTCAGAGATATGGGCCGATGTGACAGAGTTCTCAACCGCTCAATTATTTAACGTTATCAACTAACGGAAAGAAAAATAAATCTTAGTTTGTGCATCATTTTATTTGAGTTTTGCCTCTTTTGTTTTCATAGTAAACCATACAATAATAATTATATTTGACTTACCCTTGGGGGCAGATGGTACAGTTGGCTTGCTAGATGTTCCATCCACTTTCTCTTGCACAGTTTCAACCTCACTGCAACGTGTTGCATTTTTACTCTCCACTTCACCAGCAGGTGTGTCCGAATGCAGAGACTCTGACTCCCCGCTGACCTGATCGACTTTGTTCTGCACAGGAGTGCTGGGCTCTGTGGGGAAAAAACGAAAGGTTTTACTAAAACTTTAAAGTAGTCTAAACCCAGCAGAGTTTTCAGTTGGTGGAAAGCCAAGAGAAACTGTCTCCTGGTCAGAATTTAGAACTGTTACTTCCCCTCGTGGAGGAACATCTGTCATAAGAGAAGAAAAGTACATCTCAGGACCTTCTCATAACACTGCGTATATATTTATTACATTAAATCAGTTATTAACAGTCACACTTACGTTCGGACTCTGGTGCTGCTGGAGTGTTCTTTCCGTCCTCACAGCACGGGTCAGGGAAGGAATCTGATACTCCATAATGTTCCTTGGTAATTAAGAACAATACGTTTAATATTTTTTTATTCTAATTGATCAATGAATCATGCCATATTCACAATAACTTATATGAAAACATTTGTCTTGTAATTTTATTGTAATTTAATTGTTTACCTCCACATCAGGGTTATCCATTGCAGAAACACTCTCAAGATTCTTCAAACAGCTTCTCACTGAAAGTGTTAGAAAAGAACCGTGTTACAACATCTAATCTAATGTCGATTCTACACCAACAACTATGTTACACAAAACTCACACAGCTCTGTGAACTCTGCAGCCTGCTACACTACAATTTAGAACAAGAAGAACCAAATGGTCAACCCTCTTTCAGAGCCATAAAGGACAGATTTAACATGAGTCAGTGAGGCTGGTATAAGTAGGGTCATGCAGAGTAAGGTCGCCTATCCCTAAGAGAGAGAGGGGGAAATGTGTGCGGCGCGTGCATGTGGAGTGTGCATGGGTAGAGCGAGCGAGCGTGAGCGAGCATACTAGTTAGCTGTAAAACAAAGTTGCGAATGAATTACATTACATATCACTTGTATGCAGTGGTGTAGTGGTCGTTGGACGCGGGGGATCGCCGTTCCCCAACTTTTTTGGAGCCTCCACTTTTTTGAAGCATGATTTTTTTTTTAATAGTCTAATAAATATAAAATCATTGCAAGTGTGTATTTGTTGTAATAATGACGAAAACATAATGATTTGTTTAGGTAGTGCCTCTGCTTATTACTGTTTCTTTATAGTCCATGATGTGAAGCCTGTGTGTGTGAGGGGCAGCGCCGTGTGTGTGTGTGTGTGTGTGTATGTGTGTATGTGTGTGTGTGTGTGTGTGTGTGTGTGTGTGTGTGTGTGTGTGTGTGTGTGTATGTGTCAGTAGCGTGGCGTGGGGAAAAATGTAGGGGAAGCCCATTTTTTTCGGTTGGTTGGGGGGGGGGGGGGGGGGGTGGTCAATAACGTAACCAGATGAGTGATTACAGCGCCCGGTATCATTTTACACACATTTGTATCACACAGATGCAGGACTTGCACACGCCTGTTATCTAAAGTATGTTCAATAGTGTAAAGTGTATCAGTGTTAAAATGCTCGCCATTACTGTAAATACTGAATACCTTAGCCTTTATCTTTAATATGCTATATTACACTGCATTTAACTGCTTCTTTGCCATCTGGTTAGATGCAAAAGCTGATTCTACAGGTGCTTCTCAAAAAAGTACTATATCATAGAACAATTTTTCTGTAATTGATTTCAAAAAATGAAACATTCATACATTCATTATACATAAAGTGAAATATTTCAAGCCTTTTTTGTTTTAATTATGAAGATTGCCGCTTACAGATCATGAAAATCACTAATCCTGTATCTCAAAATAGTATAATATTAGATAAGACCAATCAAAACAGGATTTATAATACAGATATTTCGACCTTCTGAAAAGTGTGTTCATTTATTTACTCAATACTTGGTCGGGGCTCCTTTTGCATAAATTCTACATGGTGGCAATATATTCCATGATATTCTAATTATTTTGTGAGCTGCACCTGTTATCTGATTTCTATAATATGTCTTAATATGCAAATATAATGCATCTCGTGATGGTCACATATACTTCTCTTCTCTCTTCAGATGCACTTTTGAAATATTTTGGGTCACCTGCAGACACCTTCTCCACCACAGCCCAGCACTGCAGCAGCATCAATTATACTGTATATTAGGTTATTTAGGCCTAGGCTCCACGGGGGAACAGACCCCGCAAACGACAACGGGTCCAAAGGTGGATAGATCTGGGAACGGAGCGCTCTGGGGGGGGGTCCAACGGGGCCGTGGGGTCGCCTAATACGGTCATCCGTTTCATAGCCCCGCCTCTCCCCACCTCTGCTGCTCACCCCCGCAAAAGTACACTGCACACTGAATTCAGATTATTTATCTTTATCTCGATATGAACATAAACGCGAGTGAAGTCTAATCTGACAGGACGGAGACACGCAGCTCCTCCGGCTGTGAAGCAGCGGGAGCAAAACACACACTTCAAGTCAGATCACCACCCTTAGCTATTTTAATTACCTCTCAAACTACCTAAACTAGTTATAAATATGTTTATTTTTACTGTCGGGTTTACTTACTGGATCAGCTGCTGCATGAGGAAGCATGAAGATTTAAACTTTAACACACATTGACCGGCGAAAGACTCTGCGCGGTTCCCTCCGCCCCCACCGCGGAGAATAAACAGAAGTGCAGCCATGACAACCATTCTTCTTCGCTGCTTTTGTGGAGGAAGTTGCTGCTTTTGTGGAGGAAGTTACAGCTCCACGTACAGGCTCGGCATATGTACTGCAGCTTTTCCAGCGGTTGGATGTAAACGGAGCCGTCTCGTGGAGCTTGACACAATCCGGTGTATATTGCGTGTGGCCGGAAGGTTTTTTGCAGTTGCGTTTGCGTTACTCCGATGCGTTTTGCCGTATGGGTTCTCGTGGAGCCGGGGCCTTATACTGTAGTTTACTATATTTATAATATATTATAATTTGTTGCGTCAGCTCTAATTTGTCACCTTATTTGTATTGTATTTATAATTCATTTTATGTTACTTGGTTTTGTATTTAGGTTTTGATTTTGTATTTTTGTTGATTTAAAATAATACAAACTCAAAAAAACGCATAAAGCTTCTGTGTGCTTTTATGAACATTGCAATTTACAGTGATGCAAGCGGCCTGGGGTGGGGGGGCGCCAGATAAAATCTTGCCTAGGGCAGCAAATTGGTCAGGGCCGGCCCTGAGTTATATGATTCTTACAGCATATGCTGCCCACACCTTCACTTTCATGAATCCCTGTATCATGTGAATATTAGCGCTATTGCCTCTTAGTATGCAACCTAAATGACAATGTTAAAGTAAAAGGAACAACATATAGGCTATATAATTCATATAACATATCAATATATTAAACATATTCATTCATACGTGCACGCCGTCAGCCGCCCTGGACAACAGGTGTGCCGCCGAGACATGCATGCACCTCGCGGGAGCGCGCACAGCGCAAAGCGAAAACGCCCAGACATTTCAATGATGTGTACGGCAAAGTAGGCCTACGGTTTGGAAACGATATCATTTTCTTTTTGGTTAATCAATGGTGATAAATAATCTGAAGTCTATAGTTTATGAACATTAAGAGTCATTCATATTTATATTTTAGTAGCATTTCCTTGATATGATTGGTCTAAGTTTGCAAGGTTTATTTGAGTAATCTTTCATTATTTCTCAGGGCGAACAATGTTGTTAAGCATTACAGACAGCTTTAATAAACTGTTATTCTAAAATGAGGTTTTTAAATGTGGAAAAAATAATGTAACATCCACTCTGTCAAATAAAGTACGTGCTGATACACTATTTGATTCACAGTTTGATTTGAAGTGTCCTTACTCTAGGAACAAAGTTACTATGTGGATGCATTATTTCGGCAACGCTGGTTTTTTAGCTGCCAGGATTTGCATCCCCATGTTATTTCAGCCAAGATGAGTGTTTCCCGCGAGGTCCATGTAAAACACGGCATAACACGGTCTGTTGTTCTGTGATTTTTGATAACACACAGATGGCACGTACAAATCGACTCAATCTGTGTAAGGTCAGGGAAAGCCCAACATGAAAACTATTTAGGGCTCTTAAAGAGAGAATTTGACTTTCTGTTTTGTTTCCCAGAAACGATTGTCTAGTTTACAGTAAAGTGAAACTTATGGTTGGTCTCAGGGCGTCGCCTGGACCTGGAAACATTCGGGGCTTCCCAGTGTGTTTATTTAATATCTCTGGCTAGCTATCTACTTGCTAACGGTTTAGCTTACCCCCGCGATTCAAAGTAACGTAAACGTAGCTGTAATTTATGCTTTGCTTACATGTTCGCATAACTTGGAAGTTTACTGTCATTTACTTACCTTGTTTACCTGGCTCAAGTGGTGGCTCTGGGGTTGTTGTGTGAGCCACCACTTGAGAATTGTCGTATTTTTTAAGAAATGTTTTTCTTATGTCCATCTTCAAAAACTCTGAGTCCGACTGACAGTTTAAACATTGTCACATGATAGGTACCTGTCAGCCAATAAGACAGATGTTTATTTCCATTCAACTCTCTGGTTGGTCTGGTGTCTTGCCTCTGTTGCATTCACTGAACACGGGAAATTACAATTCTGCCGTCCTCTCATGATGAGGTTCAGGTAAAGCACGGTTAATGTATTATATTATTGAGGGACAATTGTCCGGGGCTTTCAGGCCAGGCGACGCCACCTCCTTTTTCTTAAGGTAGAACCCTTTATACCAGGGGTGGGCATTTTACGGCCCGCGGGCCACATCCGGCCCGTTGGCCGGCCTTGGCCGGCCCGTGTGAGGTTGATCATAAATTATAACATAATGAAAAAAAACAGCAACCTTTTCAAAATAAAAGCAACACAGCTGTATTGCTTGCATGGCGTAAATACTTTTCTAACTGTGTTGCTTTTATTTTGAAAAGGGCGCTGCTGTTTTTTTTATTTATTTACGTAAACGCGCATGCCGTGAACAGCTACGAGTGATGCTGGCCGACTAGTCCACGAAATGTCCGCTAAGGGCAAAAAAAGAAAGATCGATACTGAATGCCGCGTTTTCAACAAGACATGGACCGCTAAGTATTTATTTACAGAAGTGAAAGGTAAAGCTGTGTGTTTAGTTTGTGGTGCGCAGGTCGCTGTGTTCAAGGAGTACAATTTGAGTCGCCACTATGCTACCAAACACGCAGATAAATACAAGAACCTGTCTGAGGAAGAGCGGGCAAAGGGGTCGGATGCTTTGCTAGCTAAGCTGCAAAGCCAACAACACATTTTCACAAAACATTCCACATCCAGAGATGCAGCTGTCAAGACTAGTTATGTCTTAAAAGTAAACCGTTTTCGGACGGAGAGTTCATTAAGGAGTGTTTGTTGGACTCTGCCGCACTAATATGCCCGGAGAAAAAGGAGGCATTTGAGAAAGTGCCGCTCTCGCGACGCACTGTTACGAGGAGAATTGAGGACATCGCGGGAAATCTGGAGCTTCAGCTGCAGAACAGAGCGGTCAACTTTTACTTTTTTTCCTTGGCTTTGGATGAGAGCTGCGATGTACGTGACACTGCCCAGCTACTCATCTTCCTACGTGGGATAACTACAGACTTCAAAATCACGGAGGAGCTGGCAGCCATGCAGT